TTCTGTTCTACAATCTATATCCAACAAAGAAGCTTTCTGTTTTCTAGGATACTAGTTCATAACAGGGAAAAGACATAACTTAGCTCACAAAATTATCAAATAAAAAATATCTAAAGCTCTCTTCAAACTACATACTGCAAAAATAATAGGAAAACAAGCAATTTATATTATTAATACAGTAATCCTTATACGTTTCAATTATAGAATACAAAATACCTTCTTCTCTATATCCAAATGTACTAAATATACAAACCAATATATGACCTTAGTCAAGCACAAATCTACATTTGCTACTTCTCTACCCAACTCAACTATTTTCTGTCACAAGATCTATAATCTAAAAACTTTATCTAATATTCAAATACAATACATTATATCCTTCCTAACAACAATACTTAATCATCCTTTCTTCAACTAACTCCCTATTAAGGCTCATCTACAGCAACTACAAAACTCAGCTTCAACCAACAAATTGATTCTTATACATCATCTAAAAATTTTCTCATATCAAGACTATTTTACTACGACAGCTCAATATATTCTTACTCTACACAACAATGTATATTACTTTACTAATCTACCTCAACTATGGCCTATTCTAATAGATACTCAAGGCAACAGCATCAATACACTTGTTCTGTCACTCAAAAAACCATATTATATCAAAACTAGTCTAAACAAAATTAACTTATATTTTGTTGAACAATTATTCAATATATCATATAGCTACACACTCAAATAGTCCTACATTCCATATACACAAACAAAATACCTAGAGGAAGAGAACTCAAATAGTTCTACAAGCTTACAAATCTAGCTTTAACTTCACAACCTATTAACTCATTCTTACTCTCTCCTAACTCCTTCTTACTTACCTTTTCTATAGCAAACAAATCTACTTAGATTCTGAAACTTATAAACAACAATTCTATCATAGGCTATATTACTAATACACCAAAACACAATAGTACACATATAGCTCATTAGATCTACCGCAGAAAATCATCGTCCCTACTTTAACCTAACTCGGCTGTTATTCTTTTTTAAATAAATTTTTTTTATATTAGAGCATTAATAAATGCTACATATACATATACAGTATATAATATTATTAAGAAATCATTAAATAGCTTCACCGGTGTTGTCACTGGATATGTGGAATACTACTGGACGTCCAAAATTTTCCAGCATTCCGGTGATTTCAGTGGCAAATCACACTGGAACGATTTACCTACTGGAACTTGATATCATCGACCAATAGAATTGCATGAAAACTAACTAGTAAAAATACCAAAAACATTCCGGTGCCGTTCACTTCACCGACAGTCATTTCACATTTAGCTGACATCACATGGGGTTAGGGTTAGGGTTTTATTAGTTTTAGGTATATATTTTTAGTAAATTGTCAATTGGCGTGATGTCGGCTAAATGAACTGTCGATGAAATGAATGTCGGTGAAATGATACGGATCCAAACATTCGGTCCCAGTTCAAGTACCAGGTGATTGATTCGAATCGGTCAATCAGAAGTCACTGGAAGTCACTGGACATTACTGGAACTTTCAATGAAAAAAAATCTTCAAAAGAACGGATTCGATTACTGGAAGCTATTATGCCTCCAGTTAAGTCCAATGACCTTTCAGTTCCACTAGAAGCTAAAATTGACAACACTGAGCTTGACAATGTAATTCTGATATGTATTGTAATAAAAGAAACAATTTTGTAATAACAATTTCGAGAAAAGTTTATATTTCTAAAAAAAAAATGCATAGAAAAGCATGCTAGAATAAAGTAGTTAATATAACAGTTCATATATAATAAAACTTTCTTTGAGACCATTATTCCGCTGTGAAATTGTATTTAACTTTTGAAAATTCTAATATATATGCTTAAATACCGGTAACATTTATCATAGATTTTATTGTGTCTTAAATAAACTTTTAATATGCATAATGAAACTTAAAGTATTAAAATGGCATAAAAACATAATAATAAAACAATAATTTTCATCTTATTTTTATCCACACCTATACCTCGTTATAGTTTGGAGGGGAACATTCACAATTATCTCCACAATTACTGCATTTAAAATGCGTTACCGATGTTGAACCTAAATTCTCGTCTCCACTTATTTCACTGCGGCGATAACTGTCATTTACAGTATCACCTAATACTAATCTTGCAATTCGTTGATATTCGGGATTACGAGGACAGAATAACAAGCTTTCTTCATATTTTGGCAAAGTAAAATTTTGACCAACAATTAGACAAGAAACCAGATTAATATTGCATTCAACACTTAATTTTGATCTAGTCGAATTTTTTGGTAAAGTAACAATGATAGAAAATTGTAACATATGTGTTACGTTAATCAAAGGAGTATTACAAGAATGATTAATTTTACTATTATAATTGGGTAATAGGAAATCAAAATAACTTTGATAACTTGTATTTCCTATATCACCCTCATCAACATCTTGTAATAGATTATCATGAACTAGATTTTCAACGTCAAGTGTCGCAGCAACTCTGGTAGTTACGAATTTTTCATTTTGAGCTCTGTAAACGGTCTTTTCTAGAAGTTTGATACGTAATCCGTGAATCTTTAATTTTTTAATATAGGGGATTAACTTAATTTCTATCGGAATGGCGTGACCAGGAGGATAAGATTTTTTTGGAATTGAAATCTCATATTTCAATATATCTTCATAATCTTTTGACAAATTTATTCCTTCGGAATCAACATGATCAGGTAAAATTCGAACAATCTCAACATTAATATCTTTTGTTAATTTTGGTAATAAACCTGAACGATGAGCTTGTGCAGATAATCGATATTTCACATGACCTAAATCTGTGTCGATAGTCTCCGGAAAGCTTCCTGAGAGTAAAAGTTCGAAAGGAAATGTATATGTACCCGCAGGGAGCATGTTTGTATGATCATGAGATGAGGATGATAATGGTTTTATACCGAGTATGCCATGGCGTGAAGATTCGTATGTTGATGATTCATTAACTTGCGGAGTTACGAATTGCCATTTATGAGATATTATTTCTCTTTTTTCCGCGTGAACTTTTCGTTCATGACTAACGTCTATTCAAATATATATATATAATTAAATATATATAGATATATTAAAAGGTCCCGAATTAACGTAATCATTTATAATGCGTATCTTAGATAATGGATACCTGAAATCCAAAAAGTTTTTGTTTTTCCAACAAATACCATTTCAATTCCTTTAATATTTGTTGATTTGCTTAAATTCATAATCAGATCACCTCTTAAAAAGACACCACTTGCTTCTTGTGGATTTCCGCGAATTATTATTGTAGGTTCAATTAATTTTATAATTAATTCATTCTTTAGATTTTTGGTTTTCAGGGTAGACGGTGAAGGATCTTGTTCACTGAATTGTGGCGGTTTTGAACAATGAGAGGATTGGGATTGCGTCGTCATATTTATCTTGTGTGCTTTAAAGAGGGGAAGTCATTTTATTATCACGACGAAAAAACCAGTTGTAATTGTATATTCTAAAATATAATTATATAGCTTTGACCAACTGGTAGATCATTGCCAAAATTAGAATAGTCAAAAGAGAGACTTTTTAGCGATTGGCTGAATCTGAATCTGTAATGTAAGTGTATCTGCAGCTTCGCAATAAACCTTATCGTTATACTGTAATAATTTTATTAAAATTTAACTGCGGTTTATTATTCTTTTATCTATTGTACTTTTAAATTTGATGTATCGATTACGTAAATTAAAATTCTTTGTGATTAATTCTGATAGTGAAAATTTAAATATTCACTTGCAGGTTTTATCTTGGCAATTCCCGTTATTACTTTTTAGTAAAGTTAAAATTTTGAATCAATCGAATTATTCGATCTCAAACTTGCTACCACTATGCATTAACTAGTTTTAATATTATTGTATAGTTAGAACTTTCTGGGATATTTTGAGGAAGTTAGTCCGGTTAGTTTAGCATTAGTAATGACAGGTCCTTCAAATATCAAAGATGTATTGGTCACCAGATGTATTGGTCACCTGATTTTTATTTTGTATGATGCAAAAACAAGTGAATACAATGTCGGTATATTTGACGTTTTTATGTGTCATTTTTGCGTAATAGATAGATTTCATGTATTTTTTTTTTGGTTTGGTTTGTACAAAATAGGACTCAATTAGTTCAAATTTAAAAATTCCTATATCGATATAACGATAAAGGAATCTAAGGTCGTGTTAGTAAGTGCAGGCCAATTCTGAATGGCTATTATTTTTTTAGAAATAACTAATTTCATATGTAAAAAATTATTTTAGCCACTTGTCATATGGCAGTTGCACTTAATATTAATAATATTGATACGTGAGAAAGGCAAATTTTAATTGAACATTATTTGTACTTTATAGATAGTGGTATGAATAGCAAAGGTGGGAGGTACAAATAGCAATGCCCTAAATAAATCAGAGAGCAAATAATTGGATTCTTTACAAGACGATAATTTTTGGTACATATAAGTAAAATTATCAGAATACAATAATGTGTAATCTTAATAATTTCACAGGTACAGTGAAAACCTTAAAACATTCACTATGTATAACAAGACCGACATGTTTACACTTATCATTATTGTATTTATTTAGCCAATCATAGGATTTTAACCATGCTAAAGATTACCCATTTCCAAATTTACGCAATGACGAATGAATGTTATAGCGATAGTGTCACGGTTTCTTGTAAACCATGACAAAAAAAGGAGGCTTGTACGAGCAAAAAAAATGTACGATTTTTATTTTATTTTTGTTTATCGTTAGTATCTTTTTTTTTTTGAAGTTACGCCATTTATCTAAATTTATGTAAATAAAATAATATAATTATAGTTAATGGTAGAATTGATTTTGAAAATTATTGAATTATGTCGTAATGCAATATCTAATGCTGTTATGTCAAAATATCATACTGGAAGAATAGCAGGTTGATGAAAATTATGAGTGATGCTAAGGGAAAACGGATTTCGAAATCTTAAATTAATGAAGAACACTTCTCAGTGTCATCATGACACTTAGTGTCGGTTTAACACTAGCGATGTTATTTCGACACTAACATGCGTCGTTATGAAACAAGTGTCATGTTACAGCAACACTTATATGCATTCTATAACCTTAAGAAGCCACATCAGCCTTACACAGCATTTTACAAACTAAAATTATAACTATAATGAAAGCGAATTTTTTGAAACACATGCTAAGTTATTTTACCAAACAGATGAGAAAAATATTATCTATTCTTATGTATTGTCAAATAAAACAAATATGTAATAGACAATAAAATCTTTTATGAAAGCTTCTCACCTTCCAAAAATTCCGAATTTTAAAAATTAATGGTTCAGTTGGTGGCTTAAGTATGGTTCAGCTTGGAAATGAGATCTGTCTATTCATTTAGATAAACAAATTGTATGCAGCAGATAATCTAATAAACTAGATAATTAAAATAAATCATGGATTTTATCAAATAAACTCGAACGTAGAATTCAGTTAGCCAATAATGACTTGCAAAGTATGATCAAAACAAAATCTAACAGAACTATATAGCTAGTTTGGATTATTTATTTATACAGATAAATTTGTTCTATCTCTAGTTCAGCTAATTTAATTAATGACTAAGCATAGTTTAAGTCATAAACTATATGAACAGAAATTTCCAATTTCTGTGATTGTTTAGATTGAACAATGAGGCTAAATAGAATCCAAGCTAATAATATAAAGTGTATTACTAAAATTAAAAATGATGATTTGATCAGTGATCTTATAAAAGAAAATCTGTATATGAAAAGATTGGCAACTAGAATATGAGTAAGTTTATTAGGAAACCTGTGTATAAAAAGATTAGCAGAATAGGTATGTATAAGTCTGTTATATAAGATCATATGGCAATACCAACTTGGTTTAGTAGCTAACTAGATTTGAGAGGATTTATTCTGTATGATATCTGGAGGCATTGATGATTTTTGGCAATATCAACCTGAGTGGTAACCAGATTTAGAAGAGTCTATTTTGTGTGATATCTGGAGACATAGATGACTAACCTAGTAGAAAGCTACAGTAGAAACTGAGTTTGTATAAACATCGAACAAAG